ATATGCTGATGAAATCGCAATCATATCAATCAATTAGGGGTGTAACGGTACACGTACCCGTACTGAAATTATTCGGTACGGTCCCTTCGGTTCGGTACACGTGTGTACCGAACGAATATAGCGTTAAACGTAAAAAATTGAGAACAACTTTCTGGAAGTAATCTCAGGTATATATCATAGAGCGACCAAGTCATTTCATTGGACGAGAGGCATACTATGAGAGCTGGTCCACAGGGATGCGTTCAAATGTAGTCAGTAATTTGAGGAACTGTCGAAATGGCGAACGTAGATAAAGTTGAGCTGAAAATCCTCCAGCATCATTGAAGTCTCGGTTTGGGAACATTTTGATTTCGCAGTTACGTACAAGGATGACGGATACCAAAGAAAAAGACTGAAGTGCAAACCCAACTCCCCGCTAGCATGTAAGCCTCCACCACTCGCAAAAAGTTCAGACCGAGCCAAAGCTATTACAAACGCCAAATATCCTTATGTTGCCATGTTAGCAAAGCGCTACCTGGCTGTATCTGCTACCTCTGTCCCTAGAGAGGGTGTTCTCCACAGCAGGAGACATTGTTAGTGCCAGCAGATCTGCCCTTTCGGCAAGCAATGTGGACAAGTTCATCTTTCTTTAAAACAACATGAAAATACAATGACAAGCGAGTCCTCATGTCAAGCTGGCTGCTTAGGTACTAGTACAGTTCAAATACAGATTATTTCAGTTCATCGAAATGCTGCACCATAATGTTTATTTTACTATATTTTGTATTTATTTGAATACATTAGTCAGTTTAATAATAATTTTAAAAAAATATTTAATGTTTTGTGATAATTTTTTCTGATGTACCGAAAACGTACCGAACCGAACCGTGACCTAAAAACGAGGTACGTACCGAACCGAAATGTTTGTGAACCGTTACACCCCTACAATCAATGTTAACTTGGAAAGCCACAATATTAATATTTTAACTCAATCACATAGGTGATATTATTGTGGCACATCAGTAAAGCCTTACATATAAGGTGGCAGATGTAATTTAATGAATTTTAACTGAACAATAACTGAATGAGTTTGTCTCACTCTTAGACCAGCAGGGGTACCAAATATATACAGACTGCTGCAATAAGTACATTAATTAACTGTCTCATCGATGTTTGTCTGAATGAATATGATACTATTAACAATCATATTATTCCTATCAGCTGTCAATCACTGTTAATAAATAATAATAATAATAGATTTAATTTGTTAGCGTTTTTACAGGTGCTCAAAGACGCTTTACAGATATAGTGAAGAACTGTTATGATTCACATATTCATTTATTATTGAATAAACTATATTTTTTGGAGGAGTTAATGATGAATGTTCATCAAGATGCTTGCTCACCCTCCTTCAAATTTGAAAAACAAGTAATTATATCATTATTGATATACAGTTACAACCTTGACTTTACATCAGAAAGAACAAACATTAAAGAAGTGACTAACTGCATCAGTTAGGGTTAAAAAACGTGTATTCAGCTAAAACATCGCTGCAGTTATTATCCAGTGGAAGGTCATTACCTACTGGCCTAGTTAAATCAAAGTGGTTACTTTCTGTTGGCTGGGCAGTGTAGTTTTACACACCGTCTTATTTTACTTTCTCAGGACTTAAAACTGTTTTTTGGGGGCAGACCCCCTCAAAGAAAAATATATATACACGCATACAAGGTCATCATCTTAACAGTTTGTTATTCTCATCGAGTCATCCGTGAGCAGAGCATCAAGTTGGCATGTCTATTACAGCTGAATGCGGCGATTACTATTTTGTTCAGCAAAACGCCTCACAAATGTATTAAGATCAACAGCTGTAGTGCGTTTTGATTCAATGCTGAGTACAGCCAAACTTGACATTCTCTTCTCTGTCATTGTAGACCGCAACTACCTCATTCCTTCAGTGCTTGGGTCCGAAAGGCTTCTTGTTTTGCGCATCTCTCTAGGGCTCTGGTTCAAGTGAATTCGCCACCAATCATATTTCCACTCTCGCGCCAGGACCGGGGGAGGGGTTACATGACGTGCATCTTGTGCTGCATTCACTTGCACTCGGACATTAGAGACTTTCTCTCATAAATGTCCGATGAGCCACAAGTTTTCTTTCAAAACAAAGATGCCAACTGGGGTGGCAGCTGGGGTGGCAAGGCTATTGTTTAGGGTGGCAGTTGCCACCCCATGCCACCCCGGTAGATCCGCCCCTGCATGTATGATCTGTATGTGTAATGTGTAAAGCGCTTTGAGAGTCATTGAGAAAGCGCTATAATAAATATAAGGAATATTATTATTACTGGCAAATATTTGTTGTTCGGTTGCCTTACAATTGTATTTATTTTTTACAATAGTATTAAAATGATTAACTTTAACTGTTTCTGTGGGGATAATTTAACGCTAAAAGCACATTTTAACAGCTCATTTTATTCTAGTCTATAAATATAGTCTACATGACGTAACAAAGTTGTTTCTGTTATTACTGCAAACTTTGTGCGTCAGTTTGAGCCAATAGTGTAAAGTAACTAAGTACATTTACTCAACTACTTAAGTTCAATTTGAAGGTTACTTGTACTTTACACTTCATGACACACATTACTTGTATACCTCCAAAACTACTTAAATGTTATCCACCTCACCTTTAACAGCTCATCCTACTCTAAATATAGTCTCTACATGACATAACAAAGTTGTTTCTGTTATTGCTGCAAACTTTGTGTCAGTTTGAGCCATAGACTGGTTTGAGCCAATAGTGTAAAGTAACTAATTACTAGGGCTGGGACTCGATTAAAAAAATGAATCTAATTAATTAGAGGCTTTGTAATTAATTAATCGAAATTAATCGCATTTTTAATCGCATATACATATTTGACCTAAGAACAGTGAGAAGCAATTTTTTTTCACATGGATTTTAGTATACCATTAGGCACATTCACACCGCAGTACTTTTCCCACAAAGGTTCATGAGAATTGAGTTCATGAGAACTCTTTGAACCTGGGGGTGGATTAGGCAAATGAAGCCGCTGACGTCAATTCTTCTTCTTCTGCTTTGGGTTTACTGGCAGGCCGCAAACCACTTCACGGCGTATACTGCCGCCCAAAGTCCCCGGCCGGAAGTCCCCGGAGTTAGGGACTGGCTTCAGTAGAAGCTGCTGGGAGTCCCAGCAGCCTTCCGAGTAAATCGCCAGAACGCCGACACCTCCTCATCTCCACCGCTCCCATGTTTTATTTTGTGTTGCCATAAGTTAGTCTCTCTGCGTTTCTGCGCTGGGCTAATGCTAATAATGCTAATGCGAGGATAATAAAATGGCGGCTTCACAAAACTTTTTGGGAGTTTTACGGGGCGTGGTTTGCAATCCGCCCAGCCAATCAGAAATATAGCTCTTTACTCACAAGAGAGCCGTACGAAAGTCCCTGCTCTCTAGCAGCTCTCTGCTCTCTAGCAGGGACTTTCGTGGGGGTAAAAAGGTTCTCATTAACTAATTTTAGTACCGGCTCTTTTTGGTGTGAACGCGATAAAAGAGGCTAACGTCCACGCTAGCTTTCACGCTAGCTGCTATATGTTTTGCATTGAGGTGATACTTGAGGCTTGATGTGCTGCGGTGATATGCGAATTCCTTTTTGCATAATTTGCACACAACCGTGCTCTTATCGACGCTTCCATCCGTCCGTTTTTTAAAACAACATTTCCCACTGTTGTTCACTGTGGTTTGTTGTTGTCTGAAGTCATGAACGTTAGTTGGTGCTCCAGTATAATCGGTACGCCTGAAACTCATCCAGTGAGAAACGTTCCGCTGTGCAAAAATAAGTGCGATTAAAATGCGTTAATTTTTTTAACGCGTTAATTTTTGTGTAATTAATTAATCTTAATTAACGCGTTAAAGTCCCGGCCCTAGTAAATACATTTACTCAACTACTTAAGTACAATTTTGAGGTGACTTTAAAAATATATACTTTTATACCTCCATGTGAAGCTGACCGTTGAGCGGCCCAGACCAAGCAAGGAGGCAGAGGCAGAACTTCCAAAAATATAACCCGACGTGGGCATTTATTAAAATAATGTGCACAAAGTTCACAGCCTCAATCCTGCTGTTCTCCTTGCACACATCCTGCTGCAACCAGGATCTCACACACACTACCCGCCTCTCAATCAGACAGGGAACAGAGCCTAAATACACACACTCAAATCAGCACAACAAGACACAGGTGAGGGGGGAGGAGACAACACAGGACACCAGGTGCACACAATCATCAGCCACAGACCTCAACTGTACAATCACGCTAATAAAGTGCCATATTACCCGGCCTGAAGCCGTCAGTCCATAGTGACGAAAACCTTCGTCACACTCCAAAACTACTTTTTCCAATAAATGCAGCAGTTGCTGCTATTTTCTTGGTGGACTTTGAGTAATTTCTCAGATTTTTACTCAGATTTTTGCATATATAATTAGTTTTATGTATATATAATTCTTGTAAACATTGATCTTCAATTCCTCTGACTGTGTATACTGTATGTATGGCCCATTGTACACCAAAGCCAGTTCCTTGTAGTTGTAAACCTACTTGGCAATAAACCTGATTCTGATTTTATGATTCATATTTGATCTCTAAACAAAGCATTGTCTTGCTCTTCAGATTTCCACTCCGAGTGACCAGTGAAACAGAGAAACCATGTCTTTGACTAATGCCCACAGCAAAGAAACATGGGATGCACACAACCAGATGATGCTGGATCCTCTGTCCAGCGACTCTGAGGTTTGTTTTCAATGGATTTCAATGGGAGGCGTGTCGTGCAGTGGATAGAGCCCAGGTATGGGGATCAGTTGGTCACAGGTTCAAACCCCACTGCAGTCAGCATGTCGTTGTGTCCCTGGGCAAGACACTTCACCCCACATTGCTCCTGTGGGGATTGCCCACAGTATTGAGTACGTAAGTCGCTTTGGATAAAAGCGTCTAACAAGTAACATGGAATGGAATGGATTTCAAGATAACGTTTTATGGAGAGGTTAGCAGTAATTTGTAGGCGTTTGGATGTAAACATTTCTGAACCTGAACTGACAAGAATGATCATTATTTTCACATTTAAGAATTTCTTAAGATTTTTTTGTTTGAGTTGTTATCGTTCCATAAACAAACAGTATTTGTGTATATTTTTGGTTTAGGTGTGCTCCATCATAAAAAAAGAGAAGCACAGGCAGACGTACGGGCTGGAGCTCATAGCGGCCGATAACTTCACCAGCAGAGCCGTTTTAGAGGCTCTGGGTACCTGCATGAACAACAAATACTCTAAGGGAAGTCCCGGACAGAGGTACAACAGTTGACAAACTATTTATGAAATCCCAATGTGATTACAGCCTTCAAGATGTTGTTTAATATCAAACTAGCATAGCAGTAACAATCGTTATGATGTGTTCAGGTACTACGGTGGGATATGGGATTAGTTTTGTATCATAAAGATAAAGCAACACTTTTTCAGAATAAAGCAAAACTATAAGTTGCAAAGAAATCATTTGTGTAATCATGTAAACTATAAGTCTTTTTTCTTTGTTTTAACATAGGTTTTTGTTTGCAGTTCTTGTTTCTTCTTTCTCAATGATCAGACTTTTGCTCTCGCTGCAGCTCTCTCTTTTGCGCTCCCTCATTTTTTGTTTGAGATTCTGACACAAACCTCCCAGGTGGGCGGGACTTTCAGGAGTGCGTCCCCATTGGCTACTCAGTTTTTGAGTGATAGCCCAGTCCTCCAGCGATTGTACAGTGCAGGCAGCTGCGGTGCGGTACGTAGCTAGCTGAGCGTGGACATAAGACCCCCAGAAGAACCAGCATTTCAATTATTATAATACTACAAGTGAAAATATATGTAAGTATTGATAATTTGTGTTGTTTGTGCTATACGGTCTGTTTCTTTATTGTGTTAAGTGAGAAGTAAAGCTGTGCTATGAAAGTTAGCTTGTGCTACCTTTAGATCCATAACAATGCAAGCTAAGTAGCCTAACAGTTAGCTACTTAGCTAGCAGTGAGTGAGCGTTCAGACACCGGCGCACACACTCAAACTGACTTGTGTGCCTGACTCTACCAACAGGCTTTCATGATTCTGTTTAGATATGCAAGTATAAGCCATGATAGCTTATTTTATTAACACGCTAATTTGATATGAAAATCAATGGAAGCTGAGTTAACTTTGTAGGAAAACCTACCGTCCATGAGTTGTGTTTTATTTGTTAACTTCATCTTTTTCATTTCCTAAAACATTTATTTTCCTCTCATATTAACAGTGTGGATCATTGAGACAGCGTGGCGTCCAGAGTCTTATCCATATCCCGTTTTCCAACTTCCTCTGAGGGGACAGCACGGAGAAAGACCTGCACCAGCTTCATCCACGCTGGCGTTACTGTTATCACTGGCTCAGTGTCATTTCATTTGACCAAATGTCTTTACATATACATATTTAATAGATTTTATTATTATCCACCTTTTTGTTTTATGTCCTTTTATTTAAAACATTCTTTGAGGGTTAGGGTTAGGGTTAGGGTCTGCCACTTTTATATTGCAGAATTTAATTGTTTGTCCTAAACATAGCAATATATGCTTTTGAAATGTAACATGTCTTTGAAAAATAATAGTATACAGTTTATATTGTGTATCACCTTTAGCTTAAAAATACATAGATGTGTTTTTTTAATCTATAAAATAAATAGACAGACAATTTATCAATCCCAAATTGGGAAATTATTTAACAGCAGCAGTGTGTTCAGGTATTACAATATTTAAAGTTGGAATAAAGTATGAACTACACAACACAAGTATAATGCACTGCAATCCATAAGATAAGTCCGATATGTTCATGAAAACTCCCCAGGAGATACCGGAGTTTGCGGCATGAGTTGCACTGTGTGATCTGTGGTGTAGTGGGCTGTCACTCAAAAGCTGAGTAGCCAATGGGGACACACCCCTGAAAGTCCCGCCCACCTGGGATGTTTGTGTCAAAATCTCAAACAAAAAATGAGGGAGCGCAAAAGTATGGGCTCAGAACAGTCTCATAATACACACATGCGCACAGAAGGATTCACACTTGTATTTCATGATCTGCAAAATAATTCACACTTGTATTTCCGCATCCACACTTGTGTTTTTCAAAGCACACACAAATGTATTCCGTTTCATATACATGTAAATCAAATCCAAATACAGAAAAAAGTTTTACATGTGTATTTTTGATCCTCACATATTTGTTTTCCGTTTAAAACCTCTGCACCTGCAAACACAACCAGCTTTCTGTGCACGGATCGCTGTGCATTCGCGTGTTGTTTTTTTGAGACTCCCCTGACGGTCAGCCGATTCGTACTTGTAATTAATTCTATCTATAGCCAATCAGATGTCTCCTCAATTCTAAGCCAATCACATGAGCGCGCCCCCACGAGGGTAGATTTCTTGCGTTCATGACGTAGCGCTTCATGTACGCATTTTGCGCAGTCCGGAGCTGACAGCTCCATGGAGCCTGCCTGCAGGCGCTAATCTCAGGACACCTCCACTCTCAGTACAGCGCCACTTTCCGAACAGGAAATGCACGCAAATACAAGCCTTTATATTATTAAGGTACAGCGCCACTTTCCAAACCATTGATGAGTGCTTGTGTACACAACAACGGCAGGCAAAACCGTTTTAAATGAGTGTTTCTTGTGTGGCGATTGCGAATACAGCTGCTTTATTTATGTCTGTATGAAGTTGTTGTGAGTGTGGAGGGAGCAGCTAGGTTAGCTTAGCCTAATCGATCAGTGCACTACGAAGCCAGTGCTAGACAGTGACCTGTTAACGGGGGGATCTCCGCCGGTCATTATCGGCCGATATTCACTCTTAATAGTTTGATCGGTGCTCTCTATAAAGGCCGATCAGGAGAGCTGGATCTGATCGATATGGACATAAACGCGAGTGAAGTATAACCGGACGCGAGAGAGAGATCAGATCAGCTGCTGAGTCTGATGGAGACACGCTGCTCTGCATGATCACCTGAAGCTCCGTCCTCTGTTTAGCGAGCTGACCGGACTGTGCAAAATGCGTATATGAAGTAATCTTACCCTCGTGGGGGCGCGCTCATGTGATTGGCTTAGAATGAAGGAGACATCTGATTGGCTATAGATAGAAAAATTACAAGTACGAATCGGCTGACCGTCAGGGGAGTCTCAAAAAACCCACACACGAATGCAAAGCGATCCGTGCACAGAAAGCTGTTTGTGTTTGCAGGTGCAGGGGATTTAAACGGGAAACTAATAAGTGAGGATAAAAAATACATATATAAAACTTTTTTCTGTATTTGGATTGTATTTACATGTATATGAAACGGAATACATTTGTGTGTGCATTGAAAAACACAAGTATGGATCCGGAAATACAAGTTTGAATCCTTCTGTGTGCATGTGTGTATTATGAGACTGTTCTGAGCCCATACCAAAGAGAGCTGCAGCGAGAGCAAAAGTCTGATCATTGAGAAAGAAGAAACAAGAACTGCAAACAAAAACCTATGTTAAAACAAAGAAAAAAGACTTATAGTTTACATGATTACACAAATGATTTGTTTGCCACTTATAGTTTTATTTTTGAAATTTATTTTATTTTGCTTGACTTCGTTTTTTTTTCTTTTAAACTCATAGTTTTGCTTTATTCTGAGAAAGTGTTGCTTTATCTTTATGATACAAAACTAATCCCATAGTGATACGGATGTTGATGAGCTGGAGAGACTCTGTCAGAAGAGATCGCTGGAGACGTTTGGTCTGGACTCAGAGAAATGGGGCGTCAACGTGCAGCCTTACTCAGGTACCAAATAGTTAATTATATATAACACCAAACAAAATGTAAGGTCACCTATTATGCAAAATCCACTACATAAAAATGTGTCCTCTCTGTGTAAAGAGATTCTGAAAGTTTCATGAAAAAAGATTCTCTCACTTTTTGTCCTGTCTGAAAATGAGCTGATCAGATTTTGGCCACTTTATGATGTCATAACAATGTTTTGGCTTGTGTAACTATTAGCCAATCAGCAACCAAGTTAACCCCCCCCCACCTTATCACCTGAATCTCCTCCTAGAGCACCATTGTGTTCTTTGTAACCAAATGTCTCTCAGAGGGGCGTGGGGAGGGGCTCCTTATTTTCATCTAAGTAACAGACAGAGAATCAGCACTTTGGAAACAGGGCTGAAACAGAGGGGATTATGGGTAATGCTGCAATGACCTGAAAAACAGTATAATAGGGGGCCTTTAAATCTTTCAACTGTCTCCTCTTTACTACTTTTCTAGTTGTCATACCTTTGTCTTTGCTTCCCTGTCAGGTTCACCCGCTAACTTTGCCGTCTACACGGCCGTTGTGGAGCCTCACGGCAGGATCATGGGGCTGGACCTTCCCGATGGAGGTCACATGACACACGGCTTCATGACTGAGAAGAAGAAAATATCCACAACGTCCATCTTCTTTGAGACCATGCCGTACAAGGTACAATCGCATGTTTTTAAATTCACAGAAGTCCTACAGAGTGGTGTATAAAGATGTGAACATTGGTTACGGTATCTATTAGAGCGTACACCAAATAATACTTTTTTAGATAAGAATTGAGCACAATGTTCTCTTTGAGCAGGTATGAAAAGGGATTTTTGTAAAACACTTTGATTTGCCTTGTGTTGAGGAGGCACATTAGTTTTTGAGTTTTGTTTTTCTAGTCCTAAAAAGTCCCTTTCTGATACAATTTTAGTTCTCGATTATGGAGTTCTGCACCAAGTTAAACAAGATTATTCCTCATTACTGCAAGTATGTGCACATGGCATTGGCACTCCTCGTGAGAGCAGTGATAACAACATGCTGACAATTTGACAGAAAACAAACAAACTCGAAACCAAATCCCTTGTAGTTTTTAAAGCAAATAATGAAACGACACAAAATAAGTTATTTGCAATTGTCACTTACATTTACTAACAACAGTGAATTGTCCTTCAACAGAAAATAGACAAGTTGTTAAGTAGCGAGAAAACAAGATTAAAATGTTTGTTTATTTTTCAAGTATGAGTGGGGGATGCAATATTATCTGATGACAACCGTTTTTCATATTTTTGTGTTTCGATTCATTTCTGTGTTTCTTAAATGAATATAATTCAATCAGTACAAATCCTTAATAAATGTGGTCAAAATCTGAAAGCTAGTAGAACAAAGATGGGCTTATGACCAAAGTCAGTGGCGGCCGGCCCATAGGGGCGCTAGGGACGCCGCCCCACCTCTTCCCACATACAAAAACAAATATTAAAACAAATATTAAATTAAAAAAGATATATTTAAAAAATATATATATTTTATATTTTTATTTTTAATGAACAAGGTAAATATCATACAATTGGTATCAGTAAAATGTATAATCTACAATAAAATCTCGTTTAAAATGGTGTTACGATGTCTAAAGTTACTGATAAGTCACATGTTTCCTGCCTGGCCTTGCCCGTGGCATTAGTTTATCATTACCGGGCGCCGTGCAAGGAGCCCCCGAGCCGAACAGCAGCAACCAGCACATTGCAAAAGTCTCAATAGTAAACTGTGCCGCCGAAACATAATTTCAGCCAATCAGCGCCGTCAAATATTTTGGTCACGAGGGCGCTCACGTTGGCGCCCACGTTGCTTACGTGCGTTGAAGTGAGTTGTTTTTTAGACTCGTGAGTGACCAAGGTGACGCAGTAGTTGGATGAGAATGGCTTCGTGTGCAGGTGGAGTCGCCGGACCTCGGTCCGCACCCAATTCCGTGCAAGAGCTACTCTCCAATCCTTTCGAAAGGAGAAGTTTGGGAGATAAATTGATACTTAAAGACCTTGGACCGGACCAACCCGATTTGTATATATCGCAGCAAGCTCGTGAAAAAGACAAAACGTATCAATTCAATTCAATTCAAAATCTTTATTTATCCAGGTAAAATCCCATTGAGATCAATGATCTCTTTTTCAAGGGAGACCTGCAGCAGTAGGTTCCACAAGAAGACATAAAAACATAAACAACAGAACAACAAAAGGACATTATACAGCAAAATGTACAGGGATTACAATTTACATATTTAACCACATGTACAGGTACTAACAGCATCTGATTTTTTAGCATCCAACCGAGCTTTAAAAACATGTAGTGGTACTAGCTTCGTAATTTTCCATTCTTTTTGCAGACTGTTCCATGTTAGTGGAGCTGCACATCTAAAAGCTTTCTTCCCTAAGACAGTCCTAGCACTTGGCACATTTAATAAAACCACAGCATGCGATCTCAGGCAATAAGTACTTTCAATTCGCAGAGAGATCAGGGAGCAGATATAAGATGGTAGTTTATCCAACATAGCTTTGTAAATGAAAAAGTACCAGTGACTGAGCCTCCGTACAGTAAGTGATGGCATAACCGCCTTGGTATACAGGGTACAGTGATGCGTAAGTGCTTTACAATTTGTCAAAAATCTCAGTGCACTGTGATACGCAGCATCTAACTTGCTCATGTAATTGGCAGGTGCATTCATATACATCAAATCACCATAATCCAGCACAGGTCAAAAGGTCACAGAGCCTTTTCCTGGCCTCAAGCGAGAAACAGGACTTATTTCTGTAAAAGAAACCTAGCCTAACCCTCAGCTTTTTAAGCAGGTTATTGACATAAAGTTTAAAAGTGAGACAGTCATCAAGCCAGATACCCAAGTATTTGTAACAGGTAACCACTTCAAGTTGTATTCCTTGCGTAGTTACAATATCCAAAGCAGTCTCTGGTGTATTTTTATCTTTAGCTTTCGAAAAGTGCATTACCTTGGTTTTATCCACATTTAAAAGAAGCTTAAGCTCAGAGAGCTGAGCCTGAATAATGTTAAAAATAGCCTGTAATTTAACAACAGCCTCGTTAATCGAGGGACCTGCACAGTACATAACGGTATCGTCCGCATAAAAATGTAAGGTTGCTCCTTCGACATTTTCACCTAAATTATTAATATAGATAGAGAATAATAGCGGACCTAAAACTGAACCTTGTGGTACACCATTAGTGATGTTTAACCACTCAGAAGACAGCCCATCAAACTGAACACATTGGGATCTTTCAGAGAGGTAGTTTACAAACCACCCTACTGCATGGCTGGACATGCCTATACTGACCAGCCTTTGCTTCAAAATGCGATGATCGACAGTATCAAAAGCTTTGGATAGGTCAACAAATAGAGCTGCACAACTCTGCTTATTATCTAAAATACTCGTAATATAATTTACCACTTTCATTGTGGCAGTGATGTTGCTATGTTGCTTTCTGAAGCCTGACTGATTTTTAGACAGGATGTCATTGTTACATAAAAACACCTTTACCTGTTCACTCACTTCGAACCTTCAAGAACCTTCGCCAGAACTGACAATTTAGAGATGGGTCTATAATTGTTTAATAAGGTGGCCTCCCCTCCGTTTAGTAGTGGCAGGACATACGCTGACTTCCATACTTTTGGGATTTTGTTCGTGCTGAGAGAGAGGTTAAAAAGAGTAGTGAGAGGAGGAGCAATACAATCTGCAGCTATCTTTAAAAGGAAAGGTTCTATACGTTGTCCGGACCAGCCGGCTTTTTAGGATCTAGCTTGGTTAAAGCTTCACGAACAACATCAACAGTAAAAGGAGTAAAACTGAAAGGGTTTTCCAGACCACATTGTTCTGAGTCACCGACTGTGGTGTTCACAGAAGCAGAATTAGAAACAGAATGAGAGCCACAGGACACAAAGTGCTCATTAAAACAATTTAGTATGGTGGCCCTGTCCGATATAGAGCCAGATGCTGTGGTAAGGTACGGAGGTAGCTCATTACGGATATCACCGGTGGATATTGATTTTATGGCTTTCCAGAATTTTCTAGGGTTGTTCAGGTTCTTTGTGGTAACTGACAGATAATATTTAGATTTAGCACTTTTGACATGTGAAGTGAAGCTATTTCTTAGCTGCCTAAAACGCAGCCATTCTACCTCTGATCCTGAATTCCTAGCCTTTGCCCAGGCCTTGTTTCTCTCATGTAGGAGAATAGATAATTCAGCAGAAAACCAAGGATTGTCTCGTCCCTTCACTCTAAATGTACGCAGGGGTGCATGTCTATCTATAATTTCCATAAAACCAAGATAAAAATAAGACCATGCAGTTTCAACATCAGCACACAAATCGATTTTTCCCCAATCAAACCCAAACAGATCATGTACAAAACCCTGCTCCACAAAATGTTTTATGTCTCTTGATGATAATACGAGGTTTAACCTTTTGGACCTTAGTGTCCCTAATTGTGGCTACAACACAGTGGTCACTCAGATCATTCGCAAATACTCCCACAGCTGAGTATTTATAGGGAACATTAGTCAAAATGAGATCAATTAGGGAGGATTTATTTGGGGACTTAATATTAGGGCGAGTAGGACTGTCAACAATCTGAGTAATATTTAAAGAGATACAAAGGTTTTTAAAACCCTAAAAGACACTACAGTTAACCAGTCCCAGTTAAAATCTCCAAGTAGCACTATTTCCTTGTAGTCTAGTTGCGATAAAAGATTTGCTAGCGAAGACAAGGAGTCTTTGACAGCTGAGGGGGGTCTGTAACAGCTCACGACCATGACCTGTTGACCCTTTGCCACTTCTATATTTAAGGCTAAAAATTCAAATTACTTACTGATCGATTTGGAAACTAATGTGGTTACACTGAATATATTCTTAACATAAATGGCAACGCCACCACCTTTATTAGGCCGGTCGGTACGATACACATTAAAACCATTTAAGGCAATGTCAGAGGCCAAAATAGATTTGTTTAGCCATGTTTCTGATAAAACAATGACGTCAGTCGAGCTCGCCCAGATACGGACAAAATCTAGTTTACCTAACAGACTGCGCACATTCAAGTGGATGAAACCCAACCCAGACCTAGCTTTAAAATCAGCAGGAGTAGCGATCTGACTACTACTACTGGGCGGACCAGGGTTAGGTTGTACATTTCCTGACAGTAATAACAACAACAAAAACAGGCATCTTTTCCTCTTAAGCGACACACATACATTGTTATCTACTTTAGAATCACCTGAAAAGTCTGCGAGAGTGTGATTAGAGCTTAAGAAGCAGTCCTGAAGAACCATCATCGCAGGAAAACAAAAAAGACAAACATATTTTGTTGAGCAGATTGACTGTGACAAGGCAACCGGTAATTGTTTGTGTAACACATCCGAACCTTTGCAGGGGATGCCCACTGCGGGTGGCAGAACAGACCTGAATCCAGTAGACTCCTCAGAATGACTAGAGATCTTCTCATAGTCCAAAATAGTTAACAGGCACAGCAGAATCCCGATATGGGCCATTTTCCCAGACCAGGTAACCGCGATATTCCTGGAGCAAAATCAGCACAGCAGCAAAGGACAGGCGAAAGCAGCAGCGTGGTATCCCCGGGGTGAAAGCAGGCCTCTGCGACAGCAGAACCAGGACAGGTGGAAAGCAGGCCCCAGCCGTGTTAAAATCCTCCTCCGTACAGCAGCACACGCCCGGTGGAAGCAGGCCAAGCCCGAAGCGTGGATCCACTCCGTCTCTCCGCGACGACTCCGGGGTAAAAACCTCTCCAGTGCAGCCGTGCAGGTGGGAGCAGGCCTCCGTAGATCGCAGATCGCAGGCAGCAAACAGGTGGAGCTGCACCGTCTCTTCGCGACGAGCAGGCCTCCGTAGATCGCAGATCGCAGGCAGCAACAGGTAGAGCTGCTCCGTCTCTCTGCGACATCTCCTGGGTAAAAACCTCTCCAGTACAGCCGTACTCTACAGGTGGGAGAAGGCCTCCGTAGATCGCAGATCGCAGATCGCAGATCTTAGGCAGCAACAGGTGGAGCCGCTCCGTCTCTTCGCGACGAGAACGCCTCCGTAAATCGCAGATCGCATGCAGCAACAGGTGGAGCCGCTCCGTCTCTTTGCGACGTCTCCGGAGAAAAAACACCTCAGTACAGCCGTACTCACAGGTAGACCTCCGCAGATCGCAGACAACTAAAACTACTACTTGTATAAGCAGGGATGGCTAAAAGTTTGTAAGCAGGAGAGCTAGATGCTAACAGATGCCAGATGCTAACAGGTAGTGCGAGCCTGTAGAAATTGCGACTGCCTCCAATGATGATACTTGAGCTTTTTTTCAACGAGGCTTCTCACGTAGCTGGTACACCAGAAAGGCATGGCTAGCTGGATGCAAACAGGTAAATGCTGTCTTTTGTTTCCCATGCTTGCTCTTCAAACAGCCGGGGACGGATACGATCTGTTCAGAAACTAGACAAAAGTTAAACAAGTACAAACCACAGACTGTCTGTGTCATACAGTCGCTGGTTTATTTATGTCTGTATAGGCCATTGTTGTGAGTGTGGACGGTCAGAGCATATATAACGTTAGCTTAGCCAAGCTCCATTTAGAAAACACGCATTTTAAAAGGGTTTTTCGTCTGTCTGCAGACTTGTCAAAGCGTTAATTCATGGTTTTTACTAACCGGTATCAGTATGTTGTTAATTCGGCATCATTTTGAAACGTGTATTACAATTAAATCACGGTAAAATATGTTCATCTTGTTGTAGCTGTAGCCCCCTTGCCAGCGATTCTCTCTCTAGTTTAGCATACTCAGCCCGACTCAGCCTGGTTGTTCCTGGCCCTAGAACCACGATTGTATGGGGCCAGAAAAACTGTGAATTAGGACCCGCTAGCCGCTACTAGGTCAAGTGGAAACGCAACCAAAAACGGGCCCCGCACGACTCGGCACGCTTAAAGCGAGCACCGCGCTGCACTGGAAACGCGCCATTACATCACCAGAAGTCCTAATTTAAGGGGTCATTTCTCCCAAAAAAATGTTATTTACTCACTATATCAACAGCCCCACCAAAAATATTTTCCACCATCCGCCACTGACCAAAGTACAACCTTATTTAAAATATTGCCGTGTTGTGCTTATGTTCCGTATTTCATGTTAAGCTGTTTTGATGTTTTTGATTTGATATGATGTTTTCAGGTGAATCCAGATACTGGCTACATTGACTACGACAGACTGCAAGAAAACGCCCAGCTCTTCCACCCCAGACTCATCATCGCCGGTACATCTGCTATAACTATTTTATTTTCACACATTAAAACAAATCAGGTGTCAATATCCAAAGTTTTTCTCACCTCCTGCGTCGTCTTCCCCTCCAGGAACCAAGTGCTATTCCCGCAACCTGGACTACGAACGCCTGAGGCTGATCGCTAATGAGAATGGAGCGTACCTGATGGGAGACATGGCTCACATCAGTGGACTGGTGGCTGCAGGAGTGGTGCCCTCGCCCTTCGAGTACTGTGACATTATTACCACGACGACACACAAGACGCTGCGAGGCTGCCAAGCCGGACTAATCTTCTTCAGGAAAGGTAGACATTGAATATGAGTGTGGCGTGCGGCTATATTCCCATTGAATACGGCCGCTCTGAGGCTAAACTTGACTCATTGATGTGACACGTGTACATAATAAATCTGTACTGAACTTAACATTTTAAGGATATTTAATATTGTAAATCAAAACAATAAACAAACAGAATCATACGGTCAACAAAAGACTATCAGAGCTAAGCTAACCCCCATTGTCATGCTACCAAAACACAGGCTGCCACAGCATTTTGGCTCCTACAACGAGGATCGATTGCTTTTTTAGTCTGGTCATCAATACAGCTTTCTGTTTTGTTACTATTTCTCTAGCTTTCCATTTTGTCTTCACACACATTTTTTCTGTTTCGCTCCTCCAGGAGTTCGCAGTGTGGATGCCAAGGGGAAGGAGACTCTGTACAACTTGGAGTCTTTGATCAATCTGGCTGTGTTTAATGGGCTGCAGGGAGGACAGCACAACCACGCTATCGCAGGTAGACCTCTTCATGTTCCTCTCTTTGGACTTTATCCTCTCAGTTTCACTTCAACTGTTATTCAAGTATGTCAGGATCTCATTTAGGTAACATTTGTACCTGGCAGGTGTTGCAGTGGCTCTCAAACAAGCCATGACCCCAGAGTTCAAGGCCTACCAGGCGCAGGTTCTTGTTAACTGCAAAACTCTATCCAGCAGCCTCATTGACCACGGCTACAAGATCGTCACAGGTGAGTGCCGCATCCATCTTCTCCATTGGGATATATATTTTTTAAATCCTCTGGAGCAGAGCGAGGAGCTGTGGATTATTGTTATTGATTAATGCATCAGTTTCTTAGGGTCAAAAACACTACACTCACAACTTAAAATGAAAGCGTTTAGTTTATTTAATAAAAGAGCGCATGATCAATGTGAAAAGTGACAGTAGATATAGATTAGTTGCAATTTGGTGCTATATATATATTTAAAAAAAAAAAATATTAATAAAAAAAAAACACCTTGAATTTCAGGGGGGGCGCGGGGCTCCGTTGGCGGGGCTCCGTTGGCGGGGCGCAGCGCCCCTCCAAGACAATGGTAGGGGAAACACTGGATATGAACTTTAGATTTGTGTTAGTTACCGTTGTTGTTTTTAAACTAAAGTACTAAGTGATCTTGTGTTTTTTGTGTTGAAAGAACCTTTGAAGGCAAACTGTTTATGCTGATCTAAAACTATAACACTTCAATCAGGAGAGACGGTGTTGATGTAAGAACACATATTTATTGCCAGGAATACACAAATGAATGTAATGGAGTTTTGGCGATTAGGCCCCGTAGTGCAGGAAGTATCTTTCGGGAGGGGAGAACCGATCCGATGAAACCCCCCGGGGTCTAGACACTGGTGGTGGTGAATGGATAGTTGGGGTCAGTCTGAAGGGGAGTGGCTTAGCTTGACCCTGGTGGTGGTGAATGGATAGTTGGGGTCGGTCTGAAGAGGAGGGGCTTAGCTTGACCCTGGTGGTGGTGAATGGATAGTTGGGGTCGGTCTGAAGGGGAGGGGCTTAGCTTGACCCTGGTGGTGGTGAATGGATAGTTGGGGTCGGTCTGAAGAGGAGGGGCTTAGCTTGACCCTGGTGGTGTTGGTCAGAGCCCTAGAGAGATAAGAGTTACGACACTCCCATAGACCTCCGTTGTAAAAAATGGCGGCGCCTACTTCCGGGGTATGGACATCGAAATAGTTCAAAATATTGTCATTTGGGCGTTGGACCTCATTCACTTATATTACGGCGCGTCGATTAGTTCCAGAGGTAAGTTGCTGAAATATCGAACTCTTTTGAATTGTCAACTGTCTATATTGTATCAGAGGCCCTTTATGATGCTTATACTGGTCTTCATTTGTATATGCACAGTGTAATTATCTATATTTTATCTTGGTTGTTACAACCAATTTAGCTAGCATTGCCTGCTAGTTAGCTAGCGCGACTTCGTCAGCTTTGAAGGTAAGATTTCAGTAATGAATCGCTAGCAGCTTATATATCAATGATGCTGGGTAACTAACAAGCAGGATTTAGATTGATTATGTGTTTTTATTGTTATTTTGGTTTTTATCCGCTGAACCTGACCGTGTCAGCCATCCTTTTTCGGCTTTTTCTGTATGATATGACTTAACTGCTAGCACTAGTAGAAATGAGGTGGCGTTTGTGATAAATATTTCATTTAATATTTCATTGAATTTTGGGATATACTAACATTTCATTATGTGACATGTTGACTGTACTTTGTTTTTTTTGTACTGTTCCGTGTTAACTCATCTGTACTGTACAACTAGCCTAGCGCTACTCATGCTTGATGGCATGCTAGGATAGATTCCTTTGTATTGTAATATACACACTAGTTTAATGATTGTTCTTCAAAGGTATTATTCAGTCTTAAACAAATAATAGCCTACTGAATAGGCTACTCTACAGCAGTGAATGAAGGATGAGCCTAAAACATGGTCATGCATCCAAAATGTTTATTTTTAATAAAATAAACACTTTAAAAAAAATAATTAGCACTTTTTTTTTTCACCCACAGTGACAACGCGCAGAGCATATTGGAACTCTACAGGTGTTGGGACAGAGTTCCTCAGACGAATGGACGAAAATGTGTTTTCCAGGCAGTCTTGAGTGAAGCGGCTTGTGAGAACAAATTTGTGCCCTTGTCTCAACAGGTCATGCTGGACCTCCAGGATTGTTGTTGTGGCCATCACCAGTCCTGTCTGGACTGGTTTCCAGCTGCCCTTGGGACCGATCTTCAGGCCCCGAAACAGATGGATGGAGTCCCGGAGCAAGCTGTTGGCCTTATCATACTCCTCCATCTTGAAATGACTTAGGGCAGTAACAGTGTTGCGTGACGACATGAGGTCAAACTTTTTGGTGTCCAATGTTCAGTCACTGTATTGGTAAGCAACAATTTGTTTTGGTCAAAATGTGTTATTCACACTCCTGACTCCAGTTTGATGTGCTGCATTCTCCTCTGAGAGGTCATGGCTTGGAAGGTTTTATATTCTGTAGTGTCTCAACAGAACCTAATATGAATTGCTTTATTGTCTCGTCGCTGGATCACCTCCCCCTGGCAAAGTGGCCTCGTTATTGTTGACAAACCTGTTTTTGTTGCTGGTTCAACAGGAGCTTCTGTAAATAGTTTTGTAAATAGTTTGAATATTTATCATAGTAATCATTTTTAGTCTCCCACTCTCTCAATTTAATTTATCGTTTCTTTGCCCCACCATATATTTTGTTGTCCAAGGGCACTAATTTGGTCTGTGTTGAAGATTGTTTTACACTTTAGATTAATCAAAATTGTGTTTTTTGGCTGAATTCATCTTTTTCTGTTGAACCCTAACCCTCTTTGTTCTCCTTCTCATTCATTTTACTTTGTTTTGTTCTAACACACATCCCACATCACATCACTTTTTCCATACACTGTTCTTAATACTTGTTCGTCCATTTTACTTTGTTCTTCCTGTTGTTCTTGTTCAAACACATATATCAATTGTTCATCCACTGTTGTGGTAAAATGATATTCATAGTCTTAACATGATCATGCTACCCATGCTAACATGAACACAAACGTTTCCCTCCAAAAATGTAAAACGTATCTAAGTACAGGCATGAAAACGGGTCAGGGGTGAAAAAGGTGAGAAGGATATTATCCCTCTAGGGGGGTCCAGGGGCATGCTCCCCCGGAAGAACATTTTGAATATTCCATATTTTAAAGCATCAATCTGATGCATTTTGAGATGCATTTTTTTGCCAACCTGGGGAGAGCTGGAGAAACTTAACTTCAGCCATGAGTCAAAAATATTATGGCCTCCTTACTAAGTATTATCAGGGATGCAAACTCATCAGGTATGGAAAAGGTGACAAGGACCCGAGCCCCCCGACCCCACGGAATATCGGCTTTAAAATGAGGAATAACAGAGGATTTTAGCAGTCAAAACAACTAAAGCAGCAGTGTTAATAATAACAGAAACGCTAAAGAGTCACATCTAATAGAAATATATAAAAGCATTTATTTTAATCGTGTAGCAGTCAGTTTATAATTTTGGCAGCACTGTTGAGCATTTTGAAAATCTATTGTCATGCCTCTGTGCAAGGCTTAGTCTTTCTATCTTTATGGCATCTGGTGTAAAGTAACTAAATTCATAAACTCAAGTACTATAGCCTACTTGGGTACAATTTTGAGATACTTGTACTTTATTTAAGTATTTCAATGTTTTGCTACTTTGTTCTTCTTCTCCTCTACAGTTCAGAGGTAAATGGTGTACTTTTACTCCACTACATTTATGTAATACCTTTAGTTACTTTGCAGATGTGGATGAATGATGTGAAATCTAATCAAGTGTTGAATCAGACTTTAGTTAAAACTGTCAATAAAAAGTATGCAATAATGCAATTACAGCTGAAAAAGTACTTGGGTGTGTGTTTTTTTTATATATATATATTTACCATTCAATAATGCAATCGCTGCTGTCTGTCTGTCCCATAGAAGAACATGACAGCGCAGCGCAACTATACTACGGACGTGACTGCCCTGGCAGTGACAGCAACATAGCCTGCTTGTGCTACCACACTTTCCCCTCAAAATATTGTTAAATAACGAAATTTATAAATAGTGCCAATCCATACAAAGTGTAACCACATCATGTAAATATGAAAGCAATCTTTAAAAAATAACAGCGTTGGTTTAATCTATGACTATTTTGACCATGTTTGTGCTGTTTTTGCCATAGAGAAGCATTGCAACGGAAGTGCGTTTTGAACTATCCCGGCATACATAAACCACGTGACCGGCTGGCGGCGACATCAAAGAGTGTCGTAACTCTTATCTCTCTAGGGCTCTGGTGGTGGTGAATGGATAATTGGGGTCGATCTGAAGGGGAGGGGCTTAGCTTGACCCTGGTGGTGGTGAATGGATAGTTGGGGTCGGTCTGAAGAGGAGGAGCTTGACCCTGGTGGTGGTGGTGAATGGATAGTTGGGGTCAATCTGAAGGGGAGGGGCTTAGCTTGACCCTGGTGGTGGTGAATGGATAGTTGGGGCCGGTCTGAAGGGGAGGGGCTTAGCTTGACCCTGGTGGTGGTGAATGGATAGTTGGGGCTGGTCTGAAGGGGAGTGGCTTAGTTTGACCCTGGTGGTGGTGAAAGGATCGTTGGGGCCGGTCTGAAGGGGAGGGGCTTAGCTTGACCCTGGATTCAGAGGGACGGGAGGTGAAAAGGGGGGTGAGGAGGGTTGCGTCGAGTCAGCTGAAATGACAGCTGTCAGAAGGGGGGGAGGGCAGATTTAAAAGGTTTAGCGGAGCGCTATGATAGGCTTGTGAGAATAGAGCGAAGTGATTGGTTAAGCTGGGGAGTGACGCCCCGAATTTCAGGGGGGGACGCGGGGCTCCGTTGGCGGGGCGCAGCGCCCCTCCAAGACAATGGTAGGGGAAACACTGGATATGAACTTTAGATTTGTGTTAGTTACCGTTGTTGTTTTTAAACTAAAGTACTAAGTGATCTTGTGTTTTTTGTGTTGAAAGAACCTTTGAAGGCAAACTGTTTATGCTGATCTAAAACTATAACAATTCAATCAGGAGAGACGGTGTTGATGTAAGAACACATATCTATTGCCAGGAATACACAAATGAATGTAATGGAGTTTTGGCGATTAGGCCCCGTAGTGCAGGAAGTATCTTTCGGGAGGGGAGAACCGATCTGATGAAACCCCCCGGGGTCTAGACACTAGTGGTGGTGAATGGATAGTTGGGGTCAGTCTGAAGGGGAGTGGCTTAGCTTGACCCTGGTGGTGGTGAATGGATAGTTGGGGTCGGTCTGAAGAGGAGGGGCTTAGCTTGACCCTGGTGGTGGTGAATGGATAGTTGGGGTCGGTCTGAAGAGGAGGGGCTTAGCTTGACCCTGGTGGTGGTGAATGGATAGTTGGGGTCGGTCTGAAGAGGAGGGGCTTAGCTTGACCCTGGTGGTGGTGAATGGATAGTTGGGGTCGGTCTGAAGGGGAGGGGCTTAGCTTGACCCTGGTGGTGGTGAATGGATAGTTGGGGTCGGTCTGAAGAGGAGGGGCTTAGCTTGACCCTGGTGGTGGTGGTGAATGGATAATTGGGGTCGATCTGAAGGGGAGGGGCTTAGCTTGATCCTGGTGGTGGTGAATGGATAGTTGGGGTCGGTCTGAAGAGGAGGAGCTTGACCCTGGTGGTGGTGGTGAATGGATAGTTGGGGTCAATCTGAAGGGGAGGGGCTTAGCTTGACCCTGGTGGTGGTGAATGGATAGTTGGGGCCGGTCTGAAGGGGAGGGGCTTAGCTTGACCCTGGCGGTGGTGAATGGATAGTTGGGGCCGGTCTGAAGGGGAGTGGCTTAGTTTGACCCTGGTGGTGGTGAAAGGATAGTTGGGGCCGGTCTGAAGGGGAGGGGCTTAGCTTGACCCTGGTTTCAGAGGGACGGGAGGTGAAAAGGGGGGTGAGGAGGGTTGCGTCGAGTCAGCTGAAATGACAGCTGTCAGAAGGGGGGGAGAGCAGATCTAAAAGGGTTAGCGGAGCGCTATGATAGGCTTGTGAGAATAGAGCGAAGTGATTGGTTAAGCTGGGGAGTGACGCCCCGATCACTTATTGAGAGAAGAGAGAGTAGTAACATAGAAATAGTAAATGAATCAGTAAAGATGGTCTTCCTGGTTGAACTTGCGCTGAGCTTCATTTGTTGCAATTGTCTATTAGTGTAGTGTAATGTAGGGTATAATGTTGAAATACCCTGCAATAATGTGTTTAGGGACGACCTACAGTTAATAGCCTATTTTCCTCTTCCTGTGTAGGCGGCTCTGACAACCATCTGATCCTGCTGGACCTGCGCACTAAGGGAACCGATGGAGGACGAGCAGAGAAGATTCTGGAGGACTGTGCCATCTCCTGTAATAAGAGCACCTGTCCAGGTAAAGTGTGTGTTTTTTAGCACTGATGATATAATACATGCAGCTTTGTTTGTCCCTGGTGTGAGGAAAGCAAAATAAGCCTTTGTTTATTGAATGAGGCATGAGATGTAACCATTATGAAATACTTGTATAAATGTTTTTCCTTGGTTATGCAACTCTTCATGTTGTCATGTGTTTGTTCAGGGGATAAGAGTGCTCTGCCCCCGAGTGGCTTGAGGTTCGGCTCTCCAGCTCTGACCACCAGGGGCTTGATGCAGGAAGACTTCAAGAAGGTGGCCGACTTCATTCACAGAGGTAATCTCCTTTTCTTTTGCTTTTCTATTACTATCCGGAGACCCACTTTGTGACAATGCCGGGTATCACAAGCACTAGTCAGGGCAACAAAATGGTAGAACTGCTTTCCATGCATTAAATGCTTTTAATGTTTTATTTATTAGGGATTATTTGCAACACTTTGAATCAGAATCAGAAACAGGTTTATCACCAGGTAGTTTGACACGTACAAGGAATTTGACTTGATGTCGTGGTGCGTACATAAAAGTAAAACAAAAATGTAAAACACAGATGGAGAACTATTTTAAGAAAACTATAATAACATTACAAATATATAGTAAAATATAGCAGTATTTACATAGAAATAGAATGGAATAAAATATGTGCAGTATAAAAAAACAACTGATATTGTGTGCATTAATGTAATGAGTAAGTCCCTCAGTTTAAGAGAAAGTAAAGTCTTGGGTCGCATTCACACCTAATAGTCCGCTTCTCTGGTGCGCACCAGACCACAGTTTTTTGTTACATTGTTTCATTTTTCAGAAGGTTCGGTTTGCGTTCACACGGGACATTAAGGGGGTAAAAAAGCAAATCCCGGCAATTTCTACCGGAGCCTCCGCCATGGAGCATCGGCAGGTTATTTTCATGCTGCTGTTAATCTGGAGATCAACAGACTCTAGCAACGGCGCATATGATTATATAATCAGACAACGTGCGATAAAAAACATTATAACACATATAATGAGACGTTCTGCAGTAAGGAGGGTGTTTCACCGACGACAGGTGGCTCTCACTTTTATGTATAGTTTTTAGTTTGATATCAATCCATCCATCTTCTCCCGCTTATCCGTGGTCGGGTCGCGGGGGTAGCAGTTTCAGCAGTTCCAGCAGAGAGCCCCAAACTTTCTTTACCCTGGCGACATCAACTAGCTCTGACTGGGGGATCCCAAGGCGCTCCCAGGCCAGCGAAGAGATATAATCCCTCCACCTGGTCCTAGGTCTACCCCTTGGTCTCTTCCCAGCTGGACGTGCCTGGAACACCTTCCTAGGGAGGCGCCCAGGTGGCATCCTAACTAGTTGCCCGAACCACCTCAACTGGCTCCTTTCGACGCGAAGGAGGAGCGGTTCAACTCCGAGTCCCTCCCTGATGACCGAACTTCTCACCTTATCCCTAAGGGAGACACCAGCCACCCTGCGGAGAAAACCCATCTCGGCCGCTTGTATCCGCGATCTCGTTCTTTCGGTCATGACCCATCCTTCATGACCATAGGTGAGGGTAGGAACGAAAATGGCCCGGTAGACAGAGAGCTTTGCCTTCTGGCTCAGCTCCCTTTTCGTCACAACGGTGCAGTAAAGCGACTGCAGTACCGCTCCCGCTGCTCCGATTCTCCGGACCATCTCACGCTCCATTGTTCCCTCACTTGAGAACAAGACCCCGAGATACTTGAACTCCTTCACTTGGGGTAAGGACTCATTCCCTACTTGGAGTGGACAGTCCATCGGTTTCCTGCTGAGAACCATGGCCTCAGATTTGGAGGTGCTGATCCTCATCCCAGCCGCTTCACACTCGGTTGCGAACCGATCCAGTGAGTGCTGAAGGTCGCAGACTGATGAAGCCATTAGAACCACATCATCTGCAAAAAGCAGTGGTGCAATCCTTAGTCCACCGAACTGCAGACCCCCTCCCCCACGACTACGCCTCGAAATCCAATCCATGTATATTACAAACAGGATTGGTGACAAAGCGCAGCCCTGGCGGAGGCCAACCCTCACCGGAAATGGGTCCGACTTACTGCCGAGGACCCGGACACAGCTCTCGCTTTGGGAGTACAGAGATTGGATGGCCCTGAGTAGAGACCCCCTCACCCCATACTCCCGCAGCACCTCCCACAGACACTCCCTGGGAACTCAGTCATACGCCTTCTCCAAGTCTACAAAACACATGTAGACCGGATAAGCGTACTCCCAGGCCCCCTCCAAGATCCTTGTGAGAGTAAAAAGCTGATCCGTCGTTCCACGACCAGGACGGAATCCGCATTGTTCCTCCTCAATCTGAGGTTCGACAATCGGCCTGACCCTCCTTTCGAGTACCTTAGAGTAAACTTTCCCGGGGAGGCTGAGTAGTGTGATGCCTCTGTAATTGGCACACACCCTCTGATCCCCCTTTTTAAAAAGGGGAACCACCACTCCGGTCTGCCACTCCTTCGGTACTGTTTCCGACTTCCACGCAACGTTGATGAGACGTGTCAACCATGACAGTCCCTCAACACCCAGAGCCTTCAGCATTTCCGGGCGGATCTCATCCACCCCCGGGGCTTTGCCACTGTGGAGTAGTTTGACGACCTCAGTGACCTCCCCCCGGGAGATTGGTGTTGATCCCCCGTCACACTCCAGCTCTGCCTCTAACATAGAGGGCGGAGTTGTCGGGTTCAGGAGTTCCTCAAAGTGTTCCTTCCAACGCCCTAACACTCCATCAGTTGAGGTCAACAACGTCCCATCCTTACTGTACACAGCTTTCCAGAACAACTTTGAAAGTCCTTCTCCATGTCTTCTCCGAACTTCTCCCACACCCGCTGCTTTGCCTCGGCCACAGATGAGGCTGCTGCCCTTCGGGCCTGTCGGTACCTTGCAACTGCCTCGGGAGTCCCCCGGGATAACAAATCCCTGAAGGCCTCCTTCTTCAGTCGGACGGCTTCCCTGACCACCGGTGTCCACCAGGAGGTTCGAGGGTTACCGCCCCTTGAGGCACCTAGGACCTTGAGACCACAGCTCCCCGCCGCGGCTTCGGCAATAGAGGCTTTGAACACCGACCACTCTGGTTCAATGTCCCCAACCTCCACAGGAATGCCCGAAAAGCTCCGCCGGAGGTGTGAGTTGAAGGCCTCCTGAACTTGGGCCTCCTCCAGACGTTCCCAGTTCACCCGAACTACACGTTTGGGCTTACCAGGTCTATCCAGAGGCTTCCCCCGCCACTCAACCCAACTCATCACCAGATGGTGATCAGTTGACAACTCCGCCCCTCTCTTTACCCGAGTGTCCAAAACATACAGCCTCAGGTCCGATGATACGATAACGAAATCGATCATGGACCTTCTGCCTAGGGTGCTCTGGTACCACGTACACTTATGAGCATCCTTATGTTCGAACATGGTGTTTGTTATGGCCAATCCATGACTAGCACAGAAGTCCAGTAACAAACCACCACTCCGGTTCAGATCAGGGGGGCCGTTCCTCCCAATCACGCCCCTCCAAGTGTCTCCATCATTGCCCACATGTGCGTTGAAGTCTCCCAGCAAGATTAAAGAGTCCCCTTCAGGAGCCCCATACAGGACTCTTTCCAGGGTCTCCAAGAAGGCCGTATACTCTGAACTGCTGTTGGGTGCATAAGCACACACAACAGTCAGAGTTTTCCCCCCCATAACCCGCAGGCGTAGGGAGGCGACCCTCTCGTCCACTGGGGTAAACTCCAACAACGAAGCACCTAACCGGGGACTTGTGAGTATCCCCACACCCGCCCGGCGCCTCACACCTTGAGCAACTCCGGAGAAGAATAGAGTCCAACCCCTATCCAGAAGTAAGGTTCCAGAGCCGACGCTGTGCGTAGAGGTGAGCCCAACCAGATCCAGTGGTAACGCTCCACCTCCCGCACAAGCTCTGGCTCCTTCCCCCCCAGAGAGGTGACGTTCCACGTCCCCAAAGCCAGCTTCTGTCGCCCGGGTCTGGTCCGTCGAGACCCTCCGCTTTCACTGCCACCCTTCTGGCAGCGCACCCGACCCCATCGCTGTTTCCCGTAGGTGGTGGGCCCGCGGGATGGAGAAGCGGTATCCCAGGAATACTTGACATGCAAAACTCGATCCTGTCTGCATTGAACAATAAGCAACAACAGTTTATCCCACGGTGACAACATCATGGGAACGTGTTGCCATTTAGAACTCACTAAACCATAAATGTTGAATACACATTGCGGTACATTCAACTGCCTGATTCACCTTAGAAAAAAAAGGAAAGGATAGAAGGTTTTTGTTAAGCCCCTTGATGCTAATTTGTGGTATTGAGCTATATAAATAAGCCTTGACTTGATTTAATTAGCTTTTAAATGGTGTAGATGAGTTAAAACCTCAACCAGGCTCATAAGGTGTGTGAAGTACAAAGAGAAAGTGGACTAAACACAACTAAGTAAATAGATGTCTTGTAAAAACTTGACTTGATCATGACTTATCTAAATAATTGCCGTTAAACAACTTTTCTTTAGTGCAGCGGTTCTCACTCCCTCTGGCCCGGTGCCTAAGATAACTGATCTGTTTCTGCTCGAAGCGACGGCAGTCCTTTGATCTTCCTTTACGAGCTGCACCTCTACGTCAAACCCTGCTGCTTCACTCACAGCTCCACAAATTAAACATGCAAATTCAACCTATGGAGAATTCCCATAACTGTCAAGAAAAACGGGTTTCGCCTCCATCACAGGAAATGAAATATGAACACCGTGGAAGCTTTTGATTTCTGTGCTGCTTCACTGTGTCGTTAAAAATACTAAATCTCTGGCAGCTTAAATTCAAGAGAGAAGACAAACGAGGAAGCGCTGATGACAGTTTAGTTTGATAGTTGTTTTTAATTTAAACGACACTGTTCAACACTTCATTCTGCTTCAATCTTTCGCTAACGATTTTGAAGACATCCGCGTTCTTGTGACACGTAAATACTACGCTTCCTATGTTTTGGTGCGGACTGCGTTCACACCAGAGATGAACCGCTCCAGAGTTCACTAGCAAGCGCTCCGAGACCACCTATTTTAGCGGACCAGAGTCCTGTTGTTTAGTTCACTTCAGAGGTCTCGACTGCGTTCACACCGACCCAAACGAACCGCACCAAGCGGCTAAACGCACCAGGGTTCGATTCAACCGGACTATACAAGGCTGGTGTGAATGCGACCTTAATGAATAAGAAAACTTGAGGTGTTTTGTGTAAGGGAACACCTACTCCCACTTCTCATTTGCTGTTTCTCTGAAGCTCAGGAAAAGGGAGGTTTTTGTCAGACAAAGTATTCAGAGCCATCCACCAAAAAAAAAGAAAGAAAATACTGATTTCACATTCGTCAAGTCAGCATCTGAAAGTCCTCCCTCCTCCTCCTGCAGGCATCGAGCTGACCCTGGAGATTCAGGGGAGTCTGGACCCCAAAGCCCCTCTGAAGGAGTTCATCGCAGCGCTGCGGCAGGGAGAGAAGTTCCAGCAGAGAGTTTCAGAAATCAAAGCCGAGGTGGAGGCCTTCGCCGGCCAGTTCCCCATGCCTGGCCTCCCTGAGATGTAGAAGCACTGATGGTTATAATAAACATTATGATGCCAAATGTTTGTGGTGTGTTGTTTTGTGTGTATATTTGTTTTGTTAAAATCAGGACCCAGCAGTTCAGCTTTGGCCAGATTTGTCTTAATGGTTAAAAAGAAAGATTTGCAGACTTTTTTTCCCCTCCAAATATCCGTGTTGCAGCGGTGCCTTTTCTGTTTTAGAAATGGTTTGCTTTGGTCTTGGATGTTTCTATTACATTGAAGCTTTAATCATGGCTGAAATCAACATATATTAATCAAAATAAACTGTTTTCCACACTGATCAATGAAGGGAACTCCTGGGTCTGTTTTTTAATTGAAATCATACGCTTTCATTAAAGGTGGGGTATTCAATTCAGAAACACTTTTTGTCATATTCCATGGAATGCTCTTAACATCCCGATAGCAATGAATACATTAAATGCTTTGACAACATTCGATTGTCAACCCTGATATCCCTTCACATCTATCTGCTCTCATTAATCAACCCTGTATATTCAGTTCCCTAATGAATGCTAGGATATTCTCAGATGCCAGGCCTCAGAAGCAAACGTGACGTGATGAGTATCTCCCGGCTTGTTTTACAGTTATACTAACATGATGTCCTGTCAAGCTCAATGGAGATCATGTCCCTCCGCACCTAGAGGGTTAGTCTTCGGGCGCGGCACGTCTGCCACTCCCAGACATGCAAAACTCGATCCTGTCTGCATTGAACAATAAGCAACAACAGTTTATCCCACGGTGACAACATCATGGGAACGTGTTGCCATTTAGAACTCACTAAACCAGAAATGTTGAATACACCTTGCGGTACATTCAACTGCCTGATTCACCTTAGAAAAAAAAGGAAAGGATAGAAGGTTTTTGTTAAGCCCCTTGATGCTAATTTGTGGTATTGAGCTATATAAATAAGCCTTGACTTGATTTAATTAGCTTTTAAATGGTGTAGATGAGTTAAAACCTCAACCAGGCTCATAAGGTGTGTGAAGTACAAAGAGAAAGTGGACCAAACACAACTAAGTAAATAGAGGTCTTGTAAAAACTTGACTTGATCATTACTTATCTAAATAATTGCCGTTAAACAACTTTTCTTTAGTGCAGCGGTTCTCAGTCCCTCTGGCCCGGTGCCTAAGATAACTGATCTGTTTCTGCTCGAAGCGACGGCAGTCCTTTGATCTTCCTTTACGAGCTGCACCTCTACGTCAAACCCTGCTGCTTCACTCACAGCTCCACAAATTAAACATGCAAATTCAAACTATGGAGAATTCCCATAACTGTCAAGAAAAACGGGTTTCGCCTCCATCACAGGAAATGAAATATGAACACCGTGGAAGCTTTTGATTTCTGTAACACCCTGATGTGACAACAGATTTGAAAAAAATACACCTTTTGTCCAAGTGCTGCTTCACTGTGTCGTTAAAAATACTAAATCTCTGGCAGCTTAAATTCAAGAGAGAAGACAAACGAGGAAGCGCTGATGACAATGAGAACAGATGTGTTTTTAATGGTTTAGGGAGAATAGTTGACGTTGAAAGACAAATTGTGCTTAATAACCGTGTCGGTTTAAGTGATTAGGGGGGAAAAGGACTATATAGATGAAAACAAAGCAGCTGTTCATACTGATCCGTTGTGTGGATAATTTTAAGTAAGATTACACTTTTTTTTCTAAATTCAAAACAGTAAAACTTTCCTCAAATTTGAAATTAGAGGATATTTGAGTAGGACAAATCCAGCAGATCTCTATAGTCTAGTCAGAATATCTGTATAGGAGTGAAACAAAATTATGATTTTTATTTTCCCTAAGAAAAAAATGATACTAAAGCTATTTTCTCTAAATTAAAATCAATAATTTAAAATATTACAGATTCACTTCAGCTTTTCTCTGTGAGTGAAAAAAAATCATGTTTAATTACTGACAAAGCTTTCCATTAAAGGTAGGGTAGGTAATTCACTTCAGAAACACTTGTTATATTCCATGGAATGCTCTTAACATCCCGATAGCAATGAATATATTAACCTCTTAAGCCCCAAGCCTGTTTTTCAGGTTTCAGGCTCAAAAATGACATGCCCAAAACAAAGGACTATAACTTAACTTCTAAAAGGGTTATATGAATAATTTCTTTTATCAAAGCAAGGTCACATCTGTGAGTTGGATGTAGAAGTGTCAGAATCAATAAAGATGTTTCAGTGTCAGAGTAAATCCAGATGGAACATAGTCAAAAAGTGTACATTTGTTTCCGCCCAAATAAAACCCATTACTTATAGTGAAAACCACCCTTGAATGATGGGTTAGTAGCCTAAAAGCTTTAGGAATCCAAAGTATAACATATAATAAGTACCCTGTATCAAGATTGAGGCAAAACAAGTGAGAATTGACCTTTTTAGAGAGATTTAGCAAAAAAAAGTCCAAGCGGACTAAGCTTTGGGTACATTTGGGTACATTTGGTTCCATCAGTGCCATTTAACCTTTTTCAGGTACCAGACTGTAAAAATCATTGTACAACATTTAATTATCACTATAGGTATTCATTCCATAAAAAAAAAAAAATTATTGTTAAAAAATAAATAAATAATTAAGTGTGTGTGTGTGTGTGTGTGTGTGTGTGTGTGTGTGTGTGTGTGTGTGTGTGTGTGTGGAGTGTGTGGGAAGTTCCCTCTTTGCATGAGATGCATGTTACTTGCACAATAAAAATGAGGAAACTTAGGAAACATTTGACTCCAACTGGAGCAGATTTATTAAAAAAATTTAGCAACAAGCATTTTTTGGGTAAAAAAAAAACTTGATACAAACCCTGAATGTTACAGTATTACTCCAGTAAGTCATGCCATGCCCTGTAAAAGTTATTTTTGGTAGTGAAGCACAGAGGGACCTGACACTTCCTGCAGTACACAGGTGTCTTCACTCTTCAGTTGCCAGCATCAGAGCACCTCCTGACCTTGGTGGCATCTTCCCCATAATACTCGGGCATCCAGAAGCCATATCCTCATCGCCTTCCTCATTGTGAAAACAAATGGATTAATTCTCTGGCTTGTACTTTCAAAAATGTAACTCAAATCAGAAATAATTTCTCTACAACAACAGCAGAACATCAATTTTGAGTGTGTGAAATAACATTATATCACTCAAAATGTATACCGTGTAAATTATGTGAGAGGGGGTTCATATAATCTGTTCAATATTTAATATTAATATTCTGTCTGTCATATATATGTGTGTATATATATATATATATATATATATATGTGTGTATGTATATGTGTGTATGTATATATATATATATGTGTGTATGTATATATATATATGTGTGTATGTATATATATATATGTATATATATGTATATATATGTATATGTATATATATATGTATATATATATATGTATATGTATATGTATATATGTATATATATGTATATATATATATATATGTATATATATATGCGTGTGTATATATATATATTTAGTTGTAAGTCACTTTGGATAAAAGCGTCAGCTAAATGAAATGTAATACCGTGTTCAATTCAACATGTCTTGTATTTTTCAACAACAAGAACAAGAAACGGCATCCATCTTCTTTGTTGTTGAGTGTGTGAAAGAACATTATATCACAAGATGGATGCCGTCGTGTTATTGTCACGTGTGTGAAATTACTATAGATGAATACACTCTTACACCAAATAAATAACAAAAAGATAAAAACAGATGAATACTCTTACACCAAATAAATAAGTAATAGATACAAACAGAGAGATTACCTTTCCGGTGACGGAGGTTCATAATCAGAGTCATTACTGTCCCCTTCGTGCGTGACGAGATCACTATCTTCCGACGGAGAGTCCTGAAATACGATGTCCAATGCCTCCTCGACGGACAAAAAAGTATTCTTTCTGGCTGCCATTGTTACAATGAAGACAAAGAAAACAAATCCTGCTGTTTCGCTGATCGATCTGCCGTTCTCTGCTCTCCTGTAGTGATGTGTCGGTCGCGAACGAGCCGGCTCTTTTAAGTGAACGACGGGAGCCGGCTCTTGCCCGCGAACGAGCCGGTTTTGTTTTTTTTTTGCGGAGGGATCTAGATCGGCTTGAAGGCACATTATGCAATGTGCACTGTGCACATTATCCCGCTTATTACATGGCCACATTCTCAACAAAGTAACGACATGACTCCCAATATTAATTTAAATGCTTTTATGGATTTAGAAAATGATTTTATTGATTTAAAAAATAGTTTTATGTATTGATTTAAATTGACATGCATCCGCTAAGAAAAGTAGTCCGTTGTTACTGTTTGAACTAACGTAGCAACGGCAGGAACTGCTTCGATAGTGTTTTTGAGGAGCTTTTTGATTACAGATTTGAAAACATCGTTGCTTGCTTTAAAAGTAGCACAATTCATGATGTCAAACCTTGGAAAGTATCTAGATATCCCTGCCCTAATGCCAAAGTAACTGCACACTGAATATGTGTCGCCGTTTGATGTCTATGTCTGGGCCGCTGCGTAAAAAGGAGGGTTTCTGCCCCATTACTTCTCTTCTTACTTCGATAAGAATAAAACACGGAGGACGGAGATCTCTTTTGCTCCCCCTCTTCTGACAGCCCAGCAGCTGATCTCAAAGCACGCTCCCCTCTCCTACAGGGGGGCGTGGTCAGCTGCAGCTCACAGAATCAGCCCTCTGCAAAAACAGCGCTGGAAAGAGCAAATAGAGTGAAATGAGGCATGGCTAAAATGCAGGATCTTTTATATAGGTCGATACAGTAGCCCCTTTTTTAAATAGTTTTTACCTGTGTTGCTATCTGTTTTGTGTAGCGTGGTTCTACAAGCAAGTCAATGCATTCATTGGGTGGTATCGGAGAGTTACACGGGTCTGTAAATGCAATTGGCCACAGCAAATCATTTATATTAAACATGTAATTTTTAGAGCTGGTTGATGTTGCCAGGGAAAAGAAAGTTTGGGGCTCTCTGCTGGAACTGCTACCCCCGCGACCCGACCACGGATAAGCGGGAGAAGATGGATGGATGGATGGATGTAATTTTTACTTTTTTTTCAAAGGTTGTATTGAATAATTTAAGTGATATATGTGTACACATATAATTAGTCAAAACAGGGCTACATTTGATTTAATTAAAAGGTATAATATGTGGTAAACTGAAGAGCCGTTTGGGAGCCGAAAGAGCCGGCTCTTCTTGGTGAGCCGAGCCAAATGATCCGGCTCACCAAGAAGAGCCGGAATTCCCATCACTACTCTCCTGTCGCCGCGGGACATGCTATGCTACGCTATAGCCTAGTATGCAGC